TTCTCCCAGGCGCATTTCTGTAGACATGGCTTACCTAATTTCAATTTCAGAACTTTCTTGGCGGCGTTATCTCTTTTTAATATACGGCTCTTAAAAACGCATGGGAACACATAAAGAATTTTAAAACGAATCAATAACATGGGAAACCAACAGAGAAACCTTAAAGGAAAAGCGGAACTAACGGTGGAGGCAGAGAGAAGAAAACCTGTCTGCACATTAAACACCAGCTGACTCTACGTTTCTCTATAGAGTCTTCATGAACCAGCAGCACTCGCATTACAAAAGGTACTAAACCTGCAGGCTGAGCCACTCTCAGGGGTCTTGGGTGTCCACTTCTAGCTCTGCCAGTGGCCATTTGGCCTTAGCCAAGCCTCCATTTCCTCAGCTAAGTAAGAATCCACCAAGGACTCCTTCCCTTTAAAAAAATGATATGATCTGTGAGGTGACTCTCTTCACGTGGATTGTATTATTCTAGCAATGGAACTGAGCTTTCCTGTGGCGAAGAACTGCTTGCTGACACCCACTTCCTGTTTGCCACCACCAACTTCCGGTTCACTACCATGTTTCCCCGAAAATAAGACATCCTCCGAAAATAAGACCTACTTACAGGTTTCCTTCTGAGTGAAATATAAGGCCCCCCACCAGGCTCTGTCTCAGAATGTGATTGCTAAACCTGAGAGATTTGGTCCACTGTTTCTGAAAGAAATGGAGTCACAAGAAATTCACCAGGAAATTCAGGAAGTGGATTGTTATGATGATGTTCCAGAAGATGATGACATAATTGTCATTGAATAAATGAGTAAATTCTTGATACTGTAGGATTCACAGTTTGTCTGGTTTGTGTTGACAACTACCATACTACCGTACCGTATACAGGTAATAAATATCCTTTATTTTCATTTAACAATAAATGTGTACTGTATTCTTCTTCATGGAAAAATAAGACATCCCCTGAAAATAAGACCTAGCGCATCTTTGGGAGCAAAAATTAATATAAGACACTGTCTTATTTTTGGGGAAACAGGGTATCACCTACTTTCACTTCGCCACCACCCACTTCCGGTTTGCCATCACCCACTTGCACTGTCCCCAGTTTTTCCATGTGGTACTTAAATCTTTCAGAAGTTTTCTTCTTTGAGGAAAAAGTAAATGAGTGAAAAAAAAACAACAACACAGCAATGTAAGGGGAAGTCATAGAGTATGAGGCTAAAAAGAAATTGCATCCAACCAGTGTGTTAACTTCATTTGCATTCCGAGTCAAACAAGCAGATTAAAAATATTTAAAAAAAGACATGAGACAATTGGAAATTGGAACACTTAGATATTAGATCTGAAGAGATGATCACTCATTATTTTTGGGGTCACAATGGTGTTATAGTTATGTTTTTAAAAGGGTCCTTACCTTTTAAAATACATATTGAAATTTTCTCAGATGAAATTTGATCCTGGGAGCAGTTAGTGACTGATGATATAGATGGGGACAAGTTTTGGCCATAAATTGACAATGATAGTAATTCAATGATGGGTACATGGGAGTGGATAATACTATTTGGCCTATTCTTGCATACGTTTCATAGTTTACATAATAAAAAGTGTTAAAAAAAAAAAACCAGATTGATGGGAGCTATCTGAGGAGCACATTGGCGGAGGTGTTGGAAAGGGCTGCTTGTCATAGTTGCATAATCGCTGGGGGTAAATATGGAAGTTCATCAATCAGAAAGCCTATGGTGAGGAGCTGGCTGGCAACGGGCCCAGCGCTGTGTGGCTGCCATCTAGCCTCCGGGCCATTTACCCTCCATAAATAACAATCTATATGGATGCTTTACTATTTAAATGCACACTCTCCGCAGCTGCTGAGCGTGTTTGTTTACGTACCCACGAACCCTTCTGTAAACATCACTATCTCAAAATCGCCCATGTGCCAGGAACATAAAGGGCTCCCTTAAAAAATACATTTGGGGGATGAGACACGGCCAGTTCCCAGATGTCTGGGTGGCGGGGGGCGGGCGTGTGTGTGTCAGAATTTTGCAGGGTTTGATTCATTTCAAAAATAGAATCACATGACTGGAAGGTTCTTAGAGGTCACTGTACACATCTCTCCGAGTCTGGGCAGAACTAGATGGAAGCCAGCCACTGAGGATGTGGATCTGTCTTTTGTGGATGCCAGTCTGCCTTTTGTGAGGCCAGAGAACTCATCGAGGGAAGGCCTGGGGCCTGGACCTGCAGGGCCCCGGGGCTGGGCAATATGCACACTCTACCCCCAAGGATCTTACTTTCATTTTCTAAAAATGAGCCTGACTATCAGTGCTGGGCAAAGGCTTGCTGCAGTGCTGCTGGCGTTGGAATCGTCTGCCAGATGTTCTGTGCCGAGCCTGAGACCAGCTGACTGAAGGACCGGGTGGCCAACCTCCCCAGGGCAGCTCAGCTCTCCAGAAATACCATGTCGCGATCCACGTGTGCCCACAGTTGTCACGTGGGTGACAGGAAGAGGGCGCTACATCAAGGTTGCAATGCGGGGCTTGTCCTTGAAATAGGCCCCATAACTGAGATCACGGATAGTAGTTTAAGGACAATGAAGACATTTCTGAAAGAAAACATGAGTAGAGCGGAAGCCGTTTTGTGCCAGCTCGCTGTTGTCAAGCTCTTGGTGTCCCATCCAGCCCTCCAATGAGTAATCAGTTCCTCGCGAGTTTGTTTTTTCCTGAGTGTGCATTTGGTCCACATCAATGTTTTCCTGTGACTTTGACTCATTGAAGCATTTCTTCCCCCAAGGGTCTGTTTAATGCCCATAGATACCAACTGTGTTTTTCATTCACAAAGAGAAGCATCCCTCTGAAGCTTAAGAGATCAGATGGACTATAAGCACTGAATTGTATGAATCCCACCAGGAAAGGAACAGGACATGTCCAGCTTCCAGACAAGCCCAGGACTTTCTAGAACATTCTTCCCTTCACTTTCCAGAAGTTAGAAAACTTTTTTTGTTTAAATAGAAAATGAATAGGGGTTGCTTTTTTCCAGGAACAAAGGCAAGTGTTTTGAATCTTTTTTTTTTTTGCTGGCACTTCTCCCCTTTCCTCCAAGAAAGCAGTAGGAAGGCAGCGGATCCAGAGGCAAGCATCACCGTGAATTATCAAAAAGATGACGCCCCTCTCTTTAGAAAGGCTCAGTCATTACAGACTGTCCTCAGAAAGACAGGGCCTGCCCCAGGGAGAATGCCAACTCGGGGACATTGCAGGATAATTTGCTTATTCCGAATTCATGTTTTTTTTTTTTTTTTTTGAGATTGAGCTTTGGGTGGAGCGAGCATGAAGCTCAGCTCCTACAGTTTGAAGCTCAGATGAACACCACTAACCAGAAAGGACATATTTCCAGTGGCATTTGCTTCTGGAACTCAGAGATGCAGTGATAACAAGGCTTGTCCACTGCCCTCCCTCAGGTCCTATTGGGAGAGTTTACAGTGAGAAATCTAATATTAAAATTGCATCATGAGTGAGTGGTTGGGTTATGCTGCCAGAGGCTGTGTCGCAGGAGCCACCACTAGGGGGATCCAGAGTCCCTGTGCTCAGTCCCTTGGGAGAAGATTCTGGTCTGTGGGAAATGATGGGGCTCCCGGTTTCAATTGCTTCTTCCCCTCTCTCCTGCCTCTCCACTCCCCCAAACACACAACCATTGCTTCAGGAATACACCCGGAGTCAGGCTAAGGTAACAGATAGCCCTGTTCACATCTGTAGCAGTCTTTTAGTATGTCACAACAGTTCTCCTGTTATTCTTTACAGCTGTTTTCGGATTAGGTCCATGTTCCTTTAGTTCTTTGGAAAGGAGCCCACTCTAATCACCGAGCTCCAAGCAAAGCCTGCCACTCACATTGTCATTGCTGGTTGCATTACACACTGATGGCAAAGTTTCCACCAGGAAAGAAAGTTGCTAGAGGTATGACCTGGCCTGCAGGGCACAGGCAGGCACAGACACGGGGCCAAGGACTTTCTTTTGAAGGGATGACGGGGATGGGCTTAGGGGTTGATGAGGAATCTGGGACCAGTCTGTGGGCCCTGTATTTTCAGATGATATAAACCAACTCCAGTTGAAGACCTCAAAGCACAGAAGGGCAGTTGCATAGCTAACTAGGATCCACGGCTACTATCCCTAGTCAGAAGAGCAGTAAAGAAACTGGTGAATTAGGGTTCGAGTTGATGTGTTTTCTGTAGGACACCATTGCTAGCTTACGTCAAAATTTACGGCTCTATTTTGTGGGCTGAGACAGATAAACATGGGCAGAACCGGTTTTGCTGTTGGGATGGATAACACGTGTGAAGTTTAGAGATGAGTGAAGACTTCAATACGAGCAGACCAGCTCTCTATTCTGAGCGCAGCCGATCTTCCCTAAAGCACACTGATGGAAGGTCAATGGAGTTACGACGAAAGGATTGTCGGCTTTTCGCTTTCCTGCTGGAGTTATTTGCTGGGGCCGCAGGACTGTGGCTGCAGGGGCTCAGCAGGGAGACTATGGGACAGACGCCAAGCACCCACCCGACATAAAACAACGCCATGGGCCTTGCAAATGGCTCCCAAAGAAGAGGGACAATTGCGTTTTTATTAAAGCGATTTGTCAGGCTTCCTCTGAAAGCCGCCCCGTCCTCCTCCGGGCGGGGCAATCAATAACCTCCAGTATTTAATGGACCGTGTCTCAGAGCCACGCAAAAGGCGCTTTAGCGAGAAATTTGAATTTACATAAACATTTGGAAATGTAACCTATGGTAAGCAGTGTTTTTAAAACACTCGTTTATTCATTTGTTTCCAAAGGCCTTTTGAAAAGAGAAGGCTAGCCTTCTTGGTGGCTAGACTGGAGGCGATAAGCTACGTGGGCACACACGTCCTGAAGTGAGGGGGCGGTGTAACAGTAAGCGGTGTTCAGCATTCTCCTAGATAAGAACGTGAGACCCATGAGACCCGGTGAGAAGGGGCCTGGGTCCCTCAGAGACCCCGGAGGGAGCGCGCCTTACCTGTGGCTTCCACCATCCCTTCCAGGATGACCACGATCTCCAGCTCCTCTTTGGGCAGCTGTGCTTTGGAGATTTCCCAGAAGGGACTCTGTTGGTTGATTTCGTGACTGATGATGAGCGGCGACACCAAGAACAGCCGGTCGTCCCCGGTGTAATACCCGACATTGATGTCCGTCTGGTTCAAGGGGATGAATTCGCCCTCTGAGGTCTGTTTGGATTTGATCAGCTTGGCGCGGATGGAGGCCTCCACGATGTGGGAGTTCCTGAGGTCCCCGACGCGGAACATCAGGCACAGCTTGCCGTCCCGCATGGAGATCACCGCGTGGGTGGAGAACACCAGCGTCTCCGCCCTCTTCTTGGGCTGTGATATTTTCACAAACATGCATCCCACCATGAACGCGTTGACGATGGACCCCAACACCGACTGGACCAAGAGGAGAATGATCCCCTCCGGGCACTTGTCCGTGATGACCCGGTAGCCATAACCGATGGTGGTCTCTGTCTCTATGGAGAATAAAAAAGCAGAGACGAACCCGTTGAGGTTGGTGACACAGGGAGTCCACGACGGGTCCTCTATGTGGTCCATATCTCCTCGGATGTACGCTATTAGCCACCAGATCATCCCAAAAAAGAGCCACGTGACCGTGTAAACCATGACGAAGATCAGCAGGTTGAACCGCCACTTGAGGTCCACCAGGGTGGTGAAGATGTCGGTCAGGTAGCGGTAGGTCTCCCTCACGTTGCCGTGGTGCACATTGCACTTGCCGTCCTTGCGCACGTACCTCTGGATCTTCCTTTTGGTCCGGTCCCGGCAGATGTGTCTGGGCAGGTCGTCCCTGGCCTGCTTAGGCAACTTTGGCTGGTGAATGGCCACGGGGCTCTCCACGTCCTGGTCCATGGAGTCGCCCTCCAGGACGTTAGCTGGCGGTTTGGAGAAAAGAAAAGAGAGACCGAGTGAAATGCTGGCTCTTAGGGGATCATGGAGACCACACCATGTGCAAGACATGGACGGGAAACCCAACACCGTTGGTGTAGCTGTGCACAGAGCAGAGTGAGTTTTGTGCGCCATTGCCTGGACAGGCCCCGAGTGGACTGGACTCCAGCTGCCTTTGTGCAGGAGCTTCACCCCCTGCCCAGCAGACAGCTCCCAGCTGTGCAGGGTCTCCTGGCCAGCAGGCTCTGAGAGTCACCCTGGAAGGGAGCTGTGCTCTGCGGATAGAGAGACGTTAGGATTCAAACAGTCTCTGCTCTTCCACTTTGCTAATGTGGGCTCTTGGACATGCTATTTTTATATCACTCCCCGCCCCCCTCTCCCTGCCCCCCAATGTGGGGATGGAGCCTCTCAGGAGGTAAGTGAGGTTGAATGAGGTCATACGGTGGGTCCCCGGTGCTATAGGGCTGGTGTCTATAAGAAGAGGAAGAGAGGCCAGGATGTGTACCAGGAGGAAAGGACATGTGAGGCCGTGGGAAGGCAGCCATCTGTAAGCAGAGGTCTCCCAGTCCAACCAGAGTCACCAGAGACCAACCCTGCTGGTTCCTGCATCTCCAATCCCCAGCCCTCAGAATTGTGAGGAAATAGATGTCTGTCGGTTAAGCCTCTCAGTGTGTGGAGCCCTGTCATGGCAGCCCGGGTAGACTGACGCACTGTCTGAACTCACTGAGCCTCAGCTTCCACACTCACAGAGCGGTGATCAAGACGCCCAGTTCACGGGGCTGTCGTTGGATGAAACCACATACCTGCCTGGAACCGACATGAAATACGTTTTCCTTCGCACTAACTTGTTCCTCTGCTGCTTTCCTTATGTCTAAGGGCAAGATCTTTACATTGCCATCCAGATCTCAGAGTTTAAGGAAAAGGTCTGGTTTTTGTTGGTGATTCAGTGCCAAGGTTAAAAAGTTGGGGGGGAATCGCTCTTTTTGAGAGTTTACACATTTGGTTTGATTCCTGCCTCTATGTTGGCTATTCGCAGTCCGGGCGTGCGTTGTGTTTTGCCGAAGGCCCTGTGGTGAGCGCATCGGTGGAACCGTCGGCTCCTCTGGAGTCCGCGTGCCAGGGCGAGTGTGGTGTGGCTGCTGTGACTGCACACACAGAAGCATTGTGTGAAGCCGCTTGTCCGGCCAGGCCAGCACCTCCCAAGCTGCCTCAGGGGCTTGTCTATGGCAGTCTCTCTCCCCAGCTCTCCTCTCTGTCTGCCGACGCTGCCATGCGCTTTGTCCACGGCCACTCCGGCCTGTCCCCTTGGTGAAAGGAGGAAGGCGGTCTGCTGAGAAAACACTCTTCCGGTTAAGGAAGCAGCTGGGGATGGGACTCCAGTGGTGCCCACAGGCACCGGTGGCATAGGTCTGCTCTCCATTTCAGCCCCAGGAAGAGGCCGCGTCTGGTCTGCAGAGCAGACTGTTGGGTCTGGCCACTTGGACTTTTAGATCTCGGCCCTCTTTAGCCTGTCATTTGTAAAGGAGAAGCTTTTCTTATTCCTCCTTCTCCTCCTCTTCCTCCTCCTCTTTCTACTCCTCCTCCCCCTTCTTCTCACTCTGGTCCTCCTCCTCTCTCCCTCCTCCTCTGCCTCCTTCTTGGAACAGATATCAGGACAGGAGTGAGAGGGAAGCAGCTGAGGCTGCGACAGGGTGGAGGCGATGGAGAATCTAGATGGATGTGAAGGTGACATCCCTCTCACTGCCAACACCCCCGCCCTCCCCAAGGCATGATGTTTATGGTCCCGAGTGGTCACAGCTGAGTTCTCACTGTTCATTTTGCCCCGAGTGGGAGTCTCAAATATAGCTTCCTGTGGGACAAGCTCTGGGCCCACGCCCTGGCAGGTGGGGAGACTGGCGAGTGTCTCGCTTTGACCCAGGTGCTAAGCTCCTGACGTGCAAAGCCACTGGAACCCTGGTCTCCCAGAGACCTCGGGGGAGAAGAGGGTTTGTCAGATTAGCTGTTTTTTAACAGTCTCCAGCGGGATTCAGACTCCAAATGTCAGGGAGGAAGTCCACACCCGCCCCCACCACCCACGCTGAAGCTGCTCTCCCCCTTTTCCTGGCTCCGCCATCACTTCCAGCTCCGGGCGGGCGCTCTGAGCTGGGGCCCGTGTGAACAGTGAGAGTGAGTGGTGAGGGCCCTGGGCAGTGCTGGGAGCTGCCAGCATCCCCCAGGCCTGCTCCCCGCTGCCGGCTCAGGATGGAGCATGTTTCCTAGCCTCCTCCGCATGGAGGGGTGGCCATGGGCTGGATGTCCGCTTCTGCCCTTAGAGAGTGTATGTGCCCCTCCGGTGCCCCTGCCCTGCCACGGGCAGGGAGGGGCCTGGGTCCCATGCCCAAGAAACAAGAAGGAAAGTGAGTGTGTGTGCGCCACTGTGCAGTCAGTGTCTGGTACAAACTTGAGCCTCGTTTTGCATGTTATGGGCAGCGGCACTGACCCGGACAGGGGTCAGGCAGAGGGACCGTGGTGAGGGCTGTGTGGGAGGAGCAGGGAGAGGGGGCCGGGGTGGGATGGGGAAGGGGGATGTTTGCATTTGGCATCTGTAACGATCTAGCAGGTGGTAAGTGTAAGTCACATGGGACTAAATGCCTTTTAAAAGCAAGCAAACTAAGAAAGCCAAAAGACTTTGGGAGCGAGGTGGGAAGGTAGCCTTGGGGTGGCCCATGGCTGAGGCCGGGGTGCAGGCAAGGTGTGTCCCCGGGAAGGTGGGGAAGGGGCTCAGAAGGTGCCCCCAAACCTGCCTAAGCAGCAGCCGGTGCAAGAAGCACATGCTGACCCTCCTGTCCTCCTGAAACCAGGAGCTAACTCCACGCCAGAGGCGCCCTCACAGCTTTGGGGGAGACAGGGCAGGGAGGGCCGAGAATCTGCCTGAACAAACCGAGTCAGACAAACCCAGGCCCACCTGCTCACTCCTTCCCCCTGCACAGCCCAGAGCCCCAACCTCCCTGTCCTGCCAGTTCTCCCCCAATCTGTTCTTTGTCTAAGTGTCCTGAGGCTTCCCAGGTACATAGAGAAATTCAGTAACACGTGTCTGCTTTTCTCCTGCTAATCTGTCTTATGCTCCATTTATTTCTTAGGCCCACGAGAGACGTGAGGGCCGAGGAGAATTTTTCTTGCCTTGCGATGGGGCGGGGAGGCCAGGCCTCAGGCCTGCTGGGAAAACAGGCTCAGAGGCCAGATAAACCAAACTTCTAGTGAGGTGGGAACTCCTGGGGACTAGAAGGGACTGAAGCAGGAGGGGCAGGGGCCGGGGCAGGAAGGGGTGTGGGGAGTGGGGCGTGGGATGTGGAGTGGGGGCCCAGCTGGAGGCTGTGTCCAGCGCCCTGGCAGGGGCCCTGGCAGGGGCGAGACGCTGCCCCAGCTCCGGGGTGCAGAGGCGTGCAGGGGGACCCAGAAGGGAATGCTCACATGGCTCTCGGGCCTTTCTTTCTTCCCTGGAACCCCAGGGTGTGAACTGAGGGGTGATCTGAATTGCATTTGCAAGAGCGTTTGGGGCTGCTCAGCAGAGCGAGCTGCAGCTGAGGCCTGGAGAGCAGACATCCTCCCTGCGTGCCTGCGCAGACCTCGGTGCAAACACCCACTCACCACCTCAGCCGCAGCCCCCATGGCCCCAGGGCCCCCTGGCTGTCCACATAGGCCTCCCCTCCCCCCTCTGCCAGCCTCCCTCACCTCCCTCCCACTCGCTGCACCTGCTCCAGCATCGTGCACGCAGGCTGACCAGGGCGAACGGTGAAGAACTGCTAACAGTGAAGTGTGTACAGCGCCCAAGAGGATCCGAGAGACACCCCGAGGCACTCGGTGATTCATAAGTCGATGCTCAACCCCTGAGCCACACCGGCTAGGCCCTTCCTTATTTCTTATTTCAAAAATGAACTCCCAGTGAATTAAGGATTTCAATGCAAAGGAAAAAAAAACAAACCCTACAGAAGGAGTGGAGATGTATTTTTATCATTCTAAAATTTAGAAAAGCTGTTCTGACCATGCTAGGAATCCAGAAATTATTTTAAAACACTGTTATTTTTGTCAACATGAAAATTTGAAATGTTTGTAAGGAAAGTAGGAAGACAAACCAGCAAACATATTGGCAACACATAACATATACATCCCCAATTCATAAAAGCAGTATGCGTCCCGTGGAAAACATGGCCACAGCAGACGGAGAAGGGGCTTGGGAGAGAAGTACACGGAGGTGACAAGCACATGTCCAGCCACGGCAAAGCCAAATCCTCCCCCAAAGGTAGCAAAATCAGAAAAGCAACGCCAGATGGGCAGTGTGTGCTGGGAAGGCGGTGGGCTTGGGAGCTTAGATGCTTAGGTATTGACCGCAGTCTTTCTGGAGGGCAGGAGACAGGAAGTCTTACGATTTGGAAACGGTTAGATGCCGTGGATCAGGAGCTGGGCATTGCTCCCAAGGGAATTATTCCACATTCGCTCACCAGTTGCACACAAGGCTCTACTGCAGCCTCTCTGATAGCAGCAAAAAACTAGAAACGATCCAAGCATCTATCCACAGAGCACCGGTTAAACACCTGTTTGCACTGGTCATCAATGGCACACTATGCGGTCATGAAAAATGATTTTCCAGTGCTTTGGGGTCTTCACCAAGATCACCTTCTTAATGGCCTGTTTAACCCCCTTTGGAACGGTAATCACAGCGCCCATTCTCAGGTCCCCTTCTGGCCCTGCTGTGCAGTTCTTTGTAGCACTTGCCACCTTTCAGCCTGAGAGATTATTTGCTCTTATAATTTTCTGCTGCCCACTGGCCCCTGTGGGAAGGGAAGTTCCCCGAGGGTAGGCATCGGTGTGTGTTTTATTCACAGATGAACCGAAGGCCCTGGAGCAAGTGCCCAGCACACCGCCCCTGTTATTGAATGAATGGTATGTGTTCATTGACTTGGCTGGTTGCCCAGCCAAAGTGCTAAGCAAAAAGGCAGAATAAGGAACA